CCTGACAAATTGACCCACAGTTCTCAACAAGCCATGGACTGTGGAGCAAAGTACATTGTTGTTGCTGATGTATAAAGCTGTGAACTTGACAGTAATTACGTTCACTATTAATCCCATGGGGTAGTTTTGCTTCTTTGATGAAAAGACACATTTCCTGATTGTCCTCACTTAATAGCTTCTTTATTATGCAGGAGTCAATGTAAACGCCACACCCCAGGACAAGGTGGGGATTTGTTATAAACCTAATTTCAAATATTAAGTGTCATTGTCAGAAAAAAACGGGCAGTACCAAAAGATCGAGTTCGGCCGTTTACCTTCATCTTTTCACAGTATCAAAGCTTTCCGAAAGGATTGACAACCATGACATTTACCGAGTTAGCCGTTCGTTTTTCTTCGAGATATCACCACATCATGATTTTGGCCTCCCAAGCGGTCTAAAATGGCCAAAATTTCAGGCAACTTTAGCTGAGCCTAAAAAATACTTCGTACAAATTCCAGAAACTCTTATTTTCTTGCAATAATATTTGTTTCCTTATTAGTTGACTGAGATACATTTGAGGTCTTTCACTTTAATTCTACGATTTTCATGAGGTGCCAAATATCGTCGCCGAATCGTTAATGAGCGTGACCCAGATTTTAGCCATTTTCAGTAAGTCGTGTTTCAAAAGTGCGGCAGTTTATTTCCACGGAAAAAGATTTTTGTGATAGCCTTAAAATTGGTATCTACAGGCAAATCGGAGTAACTGGTCTCGCAAAGTCCAAAAAAAAATCGTTAGTCAAAAATATTTCCTGCCAAATGTTCAGCGAAGAATATCACCTTATTCAGACTTTCTGCGATTGTTATCCATGATTTACTGAAAGATCTGCGAAAAATAGTTAGCTGGACTGCAGAATAGAATATTTAAGCTGTGACATCATTATTGACTTATGTAAACATTTCAAACTCGCCTAATTCTTACCATTTATTATCTGGGCTAAATTTCCAGCGAAAAACTTGGTATGAGTGTTTGCTGCGTATGGATAATATAAATTGCGCGAATAGAGATTTTACAGTAACTGTTTAATTTCTCGCGCGCTGATTGGCTCATTTTTATCATCAACAAGAGTACTGTACGGGTCCGCAAATGATCCCAGGACCGCAAATGATCACCAAATTGGACCGCAAATGATCCCGGACCGCAAATGATCCCGGACCGGAAATGATCCCCGATAGGGACCGCAAATGATCCCGACTAAAAAATAACGAATGGCATGGATGGTGAGATGGTGTGGATAGGGAATTGGCGTACGTGAATACCGATGTTTTTATTAAAACCATCTTATAATTATAATGGCTTACAAGTTGCTTTTTTTTGCATCACGCAAGGCATGGTTTAAGCGCCACGCGCGCGCTGGGTCGACATGACGCAATCAACTACGTTACCAAGTACACGACTAAATTGGAAGCAAAATTTTCCTACTGTGACCA